TTTGTTTTGTTTTATTTGGCCTTGGGGCCGACCCAGTGGTGCATGAGGAGTACTCAAAGCTCAGTGCTCAATGCTCATTCCTGAAAGGTCTAGGTGACGAATGGGATGCTGGAGGTCCAAAGGTTTCATCTTGGGTTTTCTGTTTTCTTTGGGGTGGCAGAGCAAGGATTCTTTGCAATCATTTCTTGTGCTGCACTCTGGCATTGCCCCTGGTAGTGCTTGTGGACCATATGGGATGTTGGGGATCGCCAGTCCTACATGCTGTCCCTGGAATAGCTGTCCTGTTACGCCAACCTGCTGCTTCGGCTTCTTTTGCATCGTTTTTCTCATCAGCTGTCCTCTTGACTCTCTGCTCTGGATTCACAACTGACTGGCCTCAGAGCACCCTGGGGTGTGTTGGCCCCGTTTGCGCCCTGGCAAATACAGTGACTTGGGCCTCCAGACTTGCTTTTCTCCTGTTTTGTCCTTCCTACTTTGGAGAGACTACCTGCTCGGTCATATAGTCTTACGTTCACATAATCTTGTGTGTGGATTTCTGGGCATGTGCTGATCCCAAGGAGAAAGCCAAGGATCTCTGCGGCCAGTAGAGATGTTGGGGTCAAGAAACTTCTAACTTCTTTGAGCGGGATGTGGGGTGGTCCAGTGCAGTGAGTTCCTACAGGCAAACATGCCATGCACTGTTCTGAGTAGTTGTCTATATGGACTCTCGAGTTCTTAATCCTAGTGGTCATGTGCTGTGGGGGTGCAGCGGTGAGCGTGCAGTAGTTTTTGCTACACCCAGGGATAGCCTTTTGGATCGTACAAGTCTGTGTTCAGGTGATCCTCTCTACAGTGCTCACTGGAACAGTGGTGCTCGAATTGGCCGGGGGGTTACCAGGAAATGCAGATACATCCAAGAACCTTCTATATCACGTCCTCCCACTTTAGCAGATCCAGTTGCCTTATGTGATTTTTGGGGCCCATCATTCATGCTTGGAGGCTGGTTTATTCGGAGTGGAGAAGCCCCGTGACAATATAGGACCCTGGGTCCTGGCCTCAGAGTAGTGTGAATGAGGCTAATATAGATTCTGACTCCCACCCTCTTCGTGTGCTGACTCAGGACACAGTGACCTTCCACGACGTGGCTGTGAACTTCACCCCAGAGGAATGGTTATGCCTGGAGGCCTCTCAGCGGGAGCTCTACAGGGACGTGATGCTGGAGACCTACCAGAATCTGCAGGCTGTCGGTGAGAGCAGTGTGGAGCCAACCATGTCTGAACAGACCCGCGTTGGCTCCCTGGGGTTGGGCGGAAGCTGTGTGTCCAACAGTAGCTCTGTGACAGGCGTGCAGTAGCTCTTCCCTCCCTCGTGTTTTTTAGGGTTCACCTGTGGATACTCAGGGCTTACGCTCAGCTTTGTCTTCAGGAATTACTCTTGTGGGGTAGCTAGACCCTATGGGGTGATTCAGATCAACCGTTTTCGACTGTGTCGATGGGAAGATCCCTATCTGCCCAGTTATCACTCAGGCCCTTTAAATAGTTCCATCCATTGGTGCAACAATTTACTTTGTGTACTACACGAAATTTTGTGTTTTTAATTGGTTTTGCTGTTGCCTTTGTTTGGGGGGCACAGTCCACAGTTCTCTTGGCTCTGTGCTAAAGGATGATGCCTACGAGTGTTCAGGGGCTATATGGAACCGTATATTTAAACCTCTTGGCAACTGTCGCTGCCTCATCCACAGTACTTTTGCATCAGTCACTCAAGTCACACGGTTTTCGCATTTTCTTTTTTCCTTAGGGATTAGGAATTATTCCTGCCTGTGTATTCAGGGTCCACACCTGGCCTTGCTCCAAGACCATATGGGCTGCCTGGGATCAAACCCACATGTGTGTGCAGCACTTCTGTCTTATCTGCTGTACTATCTCTTTCCCACCACAGGGGATTTGATATTTCATCTCTCAACTCATTAGACGCTGCCCTATTTCAGTGCTTTGATTTACTTCTAATGGTTCTTGTGAGTCTTCAGCAGGACTTAGGGTTTGCTTCTGGACTCTGCACTCAGGGATCGCTCCTGGCTGGCATGAGGGACCCTAGGAGATATCGGGTATCGCAACTGGATTGTCCGTGAGAAACTCCTGCTGTGCTCTCGTTCTGGATACATTTTTAGCTTAAAAAATAAGGGTATCTTGTCACCCTTGGCCATTTCCAGATTTATTATGCACTTAGTTTTACTGAAATCCGTGAAAAGTTCATGAGGGGCTGAGGAAACTCCATGTGCTGCTGAACCTAGAGAGATAGTACAGGGATGAAAGTGATTTTCTTGCAAGCGGTGCACGTGGGTTAAATTCCCGGCAACCCATGTCATACCCGAGCACCAGCAGTAGTGATTTCTGAATACAGAGTCAGGAGTCTCCCCTGATCATTGCCAGGTGAGACCCAAAACAAGACAAAAAAACAAAAACATACTGTGCTAATCAACCCCCTATCTGCCATACACAAGGCCAGGTCTAGAGTATTTGTGATATTTTCTTGGGTCTTACCTCTCGAATAACTAGAAATATGTGGAATTTTGGAAATGGACATTCTGTTCATGATTTTCAGATAAATGCCCACTTATATCAAGAAAACATGGGCATTTACCTGTCACCTTTTCCCTGTGACTTATCCCTGTGACTTTGTCTCTGTTGCGACAGGGCACACTGGAATGAAGCCTGCAGTGATCTCCTGGCTTGAAGGAGGAGTTTTGAGGTCGGGTAGGAGAGGCGTGTGTGCGGGTGAGTGTCTGAGGACCCTTCCTGAATCAGGCCCTGTGCAGTGTATGGGTGCCCTGAGCATGTGTGAAACATGCTGCTGAGGCCGGGGCCTTGGTGTCCTGTATCCTTGGGTCTGTGCCGCACTCAAGCTGCTCTTCATTTCCTTGGACTGTCAATCACAGAATGATCCTGTAATTTGCTTCCATGGCTTTTGAATAAATAAGACCATAACATTGATAGTTTGGATCTAAACGATAGTACAGCAGGGAGCGCCTTGCAGTGGCTGAATGTGACCTGTTCAATAATCTGTTCAATAACCTGGTTCCCCGAACATCACCAGGTCTGCTCAAAAACGAAAACATAACCTAGTGTAGAATTGCCAAGATCCTCACAGTTTTCCACTATCCGAATCTTTTGTTTAGTGTGGGACTCTTTGGACTTTGAGAACCACAGAGATGTACTCTTAACTACATGGCATCATTTTGCTACATATTGTGACATGTGTGACATGTGTGAATTGCATGTTCTCTTCAGTTTCAGAACTGAAACCGCGACTTCAGAATTTGGTATTACAGCACTTTGATTTGGGAATGGGGTCAGCAAGTACGAGTGAGTTGGTAAGATTCACGAATACAGAATAAATATTATTATGCCAGCAGGAGTGGACCAAGTATGTGATTGTAAAGGTGGAGGGCTGGGATTGGCAGGGAGAAATTCCAAAACCTGATGCTTGGAGTAGAGGACTCTTAGCTTTGCTAGGTGCTGACATCAACCGTGTATAAAAATACTGTGAGTTTTTGATTGGCTTGACAGTGGTAGTTGTTTAGAAAGCTAATTTGTGCGCCCTAGAGATGGTGCAGTGAGAAATATACTTGTTTTGCATAGGGATGGATGGTCCTTACCCAGCACGCCTTATAGACAGCATAGACCCACAGAACTGATCCGAGACACTGCATGGTGTGCTCCTCCACCCACCCAACCTCCAATGAATAGAAACTACAAAACAGAAAGAAAAAAAAAACTTTATTGATCCTGAAAGGAATCACTTGTGGTGAGAGCATTGCAATGGCCACGTGATCTGTCTCAGCTGCGTTACGATGCAGCGTAGTCTTCTCCCCTGCATCACAGGTTCCACACAGAACTTTAACCAAATCCACATGTGAATCTATTTCATTTTCTCTTGAAATGGATGTGTCCGTTTTCTATAGAAGGAATTATTTCTAGTTGTATTCCTTCATTAAATTAAAAAGGGGGAAAGTCCCAGAATTTACTCTCTATCCATCAATGTTGTGCGTCCAACTTACGGTAACATGAAGTTATTCAATAGTAAGACAATTCATATGTCAGTAATTGCATTTTTGTGGTGCATATGTGTGGAACTACATCTGAAGGGCTCAGTTTTTTGACAGGAAGACTCAGTGAATAAGTCAATAATTAGAATCCTCTGTTGTTCTGCAGGAAAGCTGCCACCCTGAGTGGAATGTCTCTGATCCTGCACTGTATGATAATGTCTCGACTGATCAATCCTGCCCTCAGCCCCATGAGGACGACGAGACAGGCGGGATTTCTTCTGAGGGTGATCAGAATGGTGAGAGCTACCTCACTCTGAAGAAGCCCTCTCCTGGAAAAAGTTCCTTGGAGTGTGTTATTCTCAGTTCACAGACACAAAATTCCCCAATGGGGTACCTGCTAGGGAGAGAAGCACTGTTTATAGTTAGTCCCTCACAGCAACATACCCTCAACCACAGTCACCGTGAGCAGAACCCATATAGGTGTAAGGAATGTGGAGGAGCCTCCCCATGTTCTCAGCACTGTGGTGTTCCCTTAGAAAACCATAGTGGACAGAATCGCCAGAAATGTCAGCCCCAAGAACAAAGTGTGAGTCAAGGGTTACTCCATCATGACCATATGAATATAAATTCAGGAGCGAAACCTTTTGCATGTGAAACATGTGGGAAGGCCTTTGATCAATCATCACATCTTATGCATAGGAGAATTCATACAGGAGAGAAACCTCATGAATGTCAGACATGTGGGAAGGCCTTCATTCAGACCTCTAGTTCTAATGGACCTATGAAAACTCATAGTGCAGAGAAGCCTTATATATGTCAGGAGTATGCTAATGCCTTTACTCGATCCTCAGGCCTCAGTGTACATAGAAGTATTCACACTGGAGAGAAACCATATATATGTAAGGAATGTGGGAAGGCCTTTGCTGGAGCCTCAGGACTTAGTGCACATAGGAGAATTCACACTGGAGTGAAACCATATATATGTAAGGAATGTGGAAAGGCCTTTGCTTTGGCCTCAAGACTTAGTGAACATTGGAAAATTCACACTGGAGAGAGACCCTATGTTTGTAAGGAATGTGGAAAGGCCTTTATTTTGGCCTCAAAACTTAGTGTACATAGGAGAATTCACACTGGAGAGAAACCGTATATATGTAAGGAATGTGGGAAGTCCTTTGCTAAATCCTCAAAGCTTAGTGTACATAGGAGAATTCACACTGGAGAGAAACCGTATATATGTAAGGAATGTGGAAAGGCCTTTGCTGAATCCTCAAAGCTTAGTGTACATAGGAGAATTCACACTGGAGAGAAACCGTATATATGTAAGGAATGTGGGAAGTCCTTTGCTGTATCCTCAAACCTTAGTGTACATAGGAGAATTCACACTGGAGAGAAACCGTATATATGTAAGGAATGTGGGAAGTCCTTTGCTGAAGCCTCAAGCCTTCGTGTACACAGGAGAATTCACACTGGAGAGAAACCGTATATATGTAAGGAATGTGGGAAGGCCTTTGCTAGAGCCTCAAAACTTACTGTACATAGGAGAATTCACACTGGAGAGAAACCATATATATGTAAGGAATGTGGAAAGGCCTTTGCTACAGCCTCAAGCCTTAATGTACATAGGAGAATTCGCACTGGAGAGAAACCGTATATATGTAATGAATGTGGAAAGGCCTTTGCTTTGGCCTCAAGACTTAGTGAACATTGGAAAATTCACACTGGAGAGAGACCCTATGTTTGTAAGGAATGTGGAAAGGCCTTTATTTTGGCTTCAAGACTTAGTGTACATAGGAGAATTCACACTGGAGAGAAACCGTATATATGTAAGGAATGTGGGAAGTCCTTTGCTGAATCCTCAAAGCTTAGTATACATAGGAGAATTCACACTGGAGAGAAACCGTATATATGTAAGGAATGTGGGAAGGCCTTTGCTCAATCCTCAAGCCTTACTATACATAGGAGAATTCACACTGGAGAGAAACCGTATATATGTAAGGAATGTGGGAAGGCCTTTGCTCAATCCTCAAGCCTTGCTATACATAGGAGAATTCACACTGGAGAGAAACCGTATATATGTAAGGAATGTGGGAAGGCCTTTGCTCAATCCTCAAACCTTACTATACATAGGAGAATTCACACTGGAGATAAACCATAATATATGTAAGGAATGTGGAAAGTCCTTTGCTGAAGCCTCATACCTTTGTGTACATAGGAGAATTCACACTGGAGAGAAACCATATATATGTAAGGAATGAGGAAAGGCCTTTACTTCATCCTCGCAATTGACTATACATAGGAGAATTCACAGTGGAGAGAAACCGTATATATGTAAGGAATGTGGGAAGTACTTTGCTGAAGCTTGCTGATTTTCACCCGGGCTGCACCTATGCCAGTATTCTTGTGCTTGGAATTGCTTGTGTGTTAACTTGTAAATAATGGGTCATGGTGATGAAAATAAGGAGGAAGGTGACTGAATAAACTGAATAAACACCCTCCTGCTCAGAGCTGTAATGGCTCACTACTCTGTTATTGTTTGCTATGCTTCTGGCTTGGCCCAGTGGGGCTGGTTAGCGGGAATTATGGCAGAAATCAACCAAGATGCAGCATTGAATACTTTGAAAATGGAAAAATAGGTAATCCTTCATTCTTCAGTGTTTCCTGTGTTAGGATTTGGGATGCTTGAGCACCCTGGTTTGGCCACTTGAGTGCCAGGTCAAGCCAGCTTGTATGGTGCATTCACGCTTGTTTGTTACTTGTTCTGGATATCCAGGCTTTAGTGGATGTGGAGCTTTTGAGGGGTGCATTGGGTGCTGTTCTGTCACTCAGGTGTCATGGGTGAGGGTGCGTTATCCTGAGGGCCCCTGCAGCCACCATCGATCCAGGTCCAAGACGGCACTGGAGGTTGGGCACATGGACTTCAGGCCTTGGTGTGAGGAGCCTGCAAAGAGTGGAGGTCTTGGTCATCTCGTTCCTCCCTACTGGAGACTGTGAAGGACCCTGTTTTGAGCCTTTGGACTGGACCTAACACTTATCGAAACTCCAGATATGTTCACAGGCAGCCCCCAAAGGAAAGGGACACTTTTGCCGTCAGTCATTTTCATTGGCTTCAGTGCTGGGTTTGGCACTTTGGGGTGTGTTTAGACAAATGAGACGTATATGCCTTGAAAATTTACTCTTTGGATTATATTTTTTTTTTGCTTTTTGTGTCACACTCAGCGTTTCACATGGGTTTCTCCTGACTTATGCACTCAGGAATTACTCCTGGTAAAGCTCAGGGGACCATATTGTTTCTGAGATTCGAACCCGGGTTGGTCACGTGCTAGTCAAACCTCTTACCCGCTCTGCTATCACTTCAGCCCCTCTTTGGATTAATTTTAATAGCTGCTTTTATTCAAGGCAGTTGGAAGGGATTCTTTGATGCACAAGGTTTACTTCTGGTTGTGCATATCAGGAATTATTCTGTGGTGCTGCTGGGTACCTATCGGATGGGGAGGCTAGCATCCTAGTAGCTTCACAGTGATTCCAACCCCACTATTGGTGTTTTTCCATATATAGAATTTCTACAACCTGGGATTATGGTACCGCCAGCAGGTCAATATGTGCCTGTAAGGCGACTGCATCAGCAGCCTGATGGCACCATCAGACTTACAGATACTCCAAAATTGATGCTGTGCCTTTGGCCAGACTCCAAAAACTTTGGGCAAAGTCTTCCAAGAAAGTAAACAGCCAATGTTAGGTATGTGCAAGACACACCAACAAACCATTTCCTGCTCAGCTATATAATTGGAGGCAAGGTCTCTCTGGTTCCTGATCAAACCTCTTAAAGGCTATGATTCCAGAGACTCAGAGATAAATCTCGTAACCCAGCGGCTTTTTGCAGAGATGTGCCCGATACCCACAATGAGCTACCGGCGACAGACCACCACAAGGGGGAAAGGGGGTTTGTCTCCGCCTGATCCCACTTGGTGGCTCAGTGGCCACCATCTTCCAGAGGCCATTGGACAGACAGGTTTGGGCCTGCAGTGACAAGACATGCAAGGCCTCATGGGATTGGGCTGGACTCTGCACTTTCCTCCCCACCTCAATGAGACCCCGAGCCGCTGCCCATGTACGAATTCTCTGGCTGATCCCAGAGTCTCAGAAACTAATTTCGGATCCCAGTGGCTTTCAGAAGAAATGTGTTCTGTCCCCACAGTAGGTTACCTACGCTGGGTATTTCAGGTGGGAGTAGGTTTTGTGCCAGGCGGCTCAGTGGCCGCCGTATCTTAGGGTTCTGGACGGTTAGGTTTGGGACTGCAGTGAGGAGACATGCAGGGCCTAATGGGATGGTGGTGGAGCTGGCCCTTTTCCCCCTGCCCCAACGAGACCCCGAGTTGTCTGGCACCTATGATTGACCTCTATGGCTTGTGATCAAGGTGAGTAATGGCCATGATCCCAGAGATTCAGAGACAAATCTCGAAACCCAGTGCCTTTTAGCAGAAACGCATCTGGACCCTGAAGTAGGTTACTGTCCCAGGTCCACCCCAGGGGGAATTGGTGCTGTCCCGCCAACGGCTCCTCCTTGGCGGCTCGGTGGCCTCCATCCGCCAAAGGCCTTTGGAAAGTCAGGTTTGTGCCCACACTCAGGAAGATACGTGGGGCCTCGCAGGATGGGTGTGGAGCTGGCCAATTCCTCCCCACCCCAACAAGAGCCTAAGTCATTCCCACGGACCACCTCTCTGGCTCGTGATTAAGCTGTTTAATGGCCATAATCCCAGAGACTCAGGAACAAATCTCGGAGCCCAGCAGGTTTTAGCAGAAATTCCTCCAGATTTAGTTGTTAAAATTTCAGAATTCCAAAATCATATGTTATTTATAACCAGCAAATGAAAAAGAATTGTCTACTGTTGCGTTTTCACCAGATCTAACTGCCGGAGTAAAATGCCAAATAATAATGGTGGGTCTTGTGTCAAAATATTGAATGTAATCAAAGTAGAGAGAAGAATTGGAAATTATCTGCCCCACAGGTAGAGGAAGGCTGTGAAATGGCGTTATACTTGGGTTTTTAGTGATGGAAAATGGGCATGGTGAAGGGACGGGTGTTTCATTGTATGACTGAGACTTAAACCTGAAAGCTTTCTAAGTGCTCTCCCATTTTCCCCCGTTTTCTCTCATTTATTTAGAAATGGCCAGAGTAATAGTAGAGCAAGTAGGATGCTTACCTTACATGTGGCCAACCCAGGAGTCTTCCAGTCCACAACGTCTTTTCATTGCTTATTGGACATTGAGCGTCCCCTTCTCATTCCTAGAACATGTAATGTGGGGGTGTGGCATGGGGTAGGGGTGTCTTCTCCCCGGAGCTGTTCATTACGGAGAGATCCAGTGCTTTGCTTTCTTGACTTTGTTGTGATTCTTCCCTATCTGTCAGGTATGTCAAGTAGTCCATGTGTTTCAAGGCTCTTGTTTTCCCAGTTGTATAACTGGCCAGACTGTACAACTAATGGGTCGGGTACCCTTTCTGGACCCTGCTCAGTCAATCTGACACCATGCATATGTTTGCCTTTGGATCATTGTCATGTTTTTTGAAAATGGGAAGAAATTGAGTTTTCTTTTGTTATGGGGCCTGGGGATGCTCAACAGTTATTTCTGGTTGTTCTCATAAGTTGCTTTTAGCAGTGTGTAAGGATCAACCCCTGTCAGCCTCATGCTAGGCAAATGCCTACCTACTGTACGCTTGTACGCGCCAAAAAATGTTTTATTGTGTGTATGTTAAATTGTGACTGTGAGCCCATAGTGAAGTTAATTAGGACCAGAACAGCAGTGCATCACGGAGGGTGCTTGCCTTACAGATGCCGCCTACCTTCGATGTCCAGCATCCCCTTTGGTATCCCAAGCATCACTGGGTCTGATTAAAAACAAAACCCAAAAGGATTTTTTGGGGGATTGCCGAGCTCCTCCCAGCAACACTTCCCGCAGATTTTCCCTTTCTGTAGGCTTCCTTGGACTGTGAGAACTATGGAGATGTCCTCCACCTGTTTGATCATTCAGCTGCATTCCATTCAACATTGGACTAATTCGCATTGTGCATTTTGTGTGATTTCAGAACTCAAATCACAGGTTTAGGATGTGACATTACAGCAGTTTCTTTAGGGAACAGGGGTATTGCATAGAAGTGTGCTGTAAGAGTCTCTTGTTGAAACTATTATGCCATTGGAGTGCTCAGTGGACCGAGCATGCAACTTGAAAGGTGGGGTCCGGCTCCATCCCCACAACAACATCTATGGTCTCAGAATCACAGGAAAAATAACGGAGCCTAATGCTGGGACTAGAGGGTCTTTAACCTCAGTGGGTGCTGAAATCTGGAAATTTATTTTATTGTATTGTTTTTTAAAGTCTTCATTAAAATGCCAGTATTTTCAATGTTATTGATAGTTGTGTTTAGGCGTACCATCATTGAACACCAATTCCTGCATCAGCTTCCCTCCACCCGTGTTCCCTTATTCCCTCCCCACCCAGGTGCCCACTATGCCCCCACCTGTCATCTGGACAAGCACTTGACTAGGTTTCAGTGGTTACAGCTTAGATCTCTTGTTTTCAGTTCTCTTGCATCTGTATTTTGGGTAAATGGCTATACCCCTCACTCATGTCACTGGCATAAGTGAATCCCTGCTCACTGTAAACTTCTGGGTGTCTTCCGCCCTAAATTTCATTCCTTCTTTGTCCGGCTTCTCTCTAAACTCTGGAATCAGGGATGATTTAAGCAGCCCCTTTACATTACATTTCCACATCCAGTGTTCGGTACTCCACAGATGAGTGAACAACATCCTGTTTTTGTTTCTTTTTCTGGCTAACTTCACTCAAGACAGTATCTTCCAGTTCCAACCATGTTGCTGCATAAAAGCAGTAATTCTAAAACCTAAAATATATATCAATTGATCAATTGATCTCCCTTTATTCATCGATTTATTCGAGTGGGTGTCAGTAACGTCTCCATGCATGCCTGTTGCATGCTAGTG